TGCAAGTCAGTTTATAAGTCTCTGATTTCTTCATTTTTTGTGTTAGTTTTTCCTACTTTAACATGGGACATGTTCATTTCTAAGTACGGTTATCATTTGCACTGATAACACGTTGTGTCCTTTCCTTCAGCTGACCGTTCCATGACAACGCTTTTTTTGAACTTTCTCTTACCAAAATATTGCGGTTCTGTTGGTCGAAACTGTTTTAAGATGTGTGTTCAGATTGTGCTTCCTGGAAACCTTGGCGTTGACTGAAGTGACACCATCTTTAAGAACAACTGTCTACCTTGAAAACGTTCTTTCTCACTCGCTTTAAAGTTGCGTTGCCTTGAAATTCGTTCAAGATTGTTTGTCGGCTTGCTTTCATTTCTTCATGTGACATTACTAATCACAGCATCAGTTGTATTGTTGGGTCTGGCACTGGTTTAGCAGATTTATGTATGACTGCTTAGAATCAGTATGCTTCAGTCTTTTATCTATTTTCCTTATGAGGGCAGCATGTTTTCCACCTCTGGTTATAGACTTAAGCTCGCCTCTACTGGAAGCAACAACGGCTTCACCGATTTAATGAGGAATCTGTCAAAGGCTTTTCTGGTGTTTAAATAAATACAGAAAAATAGTAAAGACACTGGTTTTACAGTCACAGCTGCTGTTGCACTAAAGCTTTATGCACTAAAGTGTTTTTATTCACCATCATATCTCCACAGTAACTGCAGTCAGACCCATAGTGATTTTCTAATTTGGTCTTCACACTTGATGCGAATTAAAGCACTTCTGTGTCTGTGTATAAGGAGTCACCTTGAATTTAATTTGACCAATCAGGCGTGGCCGCTGCAATCATGATTCAGTAAGATGCTCCCATGCCTGCAAAGAGCCAGCTGTTGGAAAATCCAATCTGGAAGTCCAACAGCAGATTTTACACGAGTCATTATTAAGCTTTGATCCTGGCTGCTCGCTGAATGTTAATTAATATTGCAGCAAAGCGCTGCCTTTTTTCCCTGCAACTTTGATTCGCCGTTTTTCATCGCTAAAACATGGCACACCTGAGCGAAAACACGATAACACAACAATCAGCTTAGTTGCAGGGCTCGCTCTCAATTCATGAATGGAGATTTATACAGCAGCTGCACTACAGCAGTGCAAAGGAATGAGCTGCCGGTCTTTCTTTTTGCTTTTTAACAAAATATAATTGTACTTTTTTGTGTCTAAAAGAAAGTTACAACAGGCAATTTTATTTTCCCAAGCAGAGATTTTACAAATTCAGTGTTTACAATTTCAACCTATTGTGTTTTAAAGACTTTCTAAGTGTGACTTTCTGCAGATATCAGGAAATGTATTTCCTTTTACTATCGTCTTCCAGACTCATCAGCTAAGCAGTTCTACAAACCAAACAAACAAAAAAATGTCATCACAGTCTGGAACCAAATGTCGCAATGACAGCTGCACTGATGCTGGTTTAGCCATATTCGACTAGCAAGCGCTAATGCTGCTGCATGTAAAGCTTGTCAAACCTTTCCTAAATACTTTAAAACACCAAACTAGTTCCTTACTTCAACTCTGAATCAGGCACCAACTTTAGCTGAATCATTTCCTCAGTTGCTGTGAACACAAGGTGTTTTGTGGAGAAATTATTGATTATTTTTTGACTTGCGCCACCCCCTGAGCTGCGCCGCCCTTGGCCAGAAACTATCATATTTGTGCAGAAATCCAATCTGGAAATCAGTGTTAAATTCTACAAATTTCTCTCCTCGATTGCAGTGCAGTGGCTCTGTGGACCTTCTCTGGTTTAGAAAAAGCTGTGCAGGAGTTTTTTTAAACGGTGCAAACCTACTTAAATGTGTTGCACTTTTCAACTCAAATAGTGCATCTCTGCAAAGGTGCAGATTACAGACGTACCTAAGACGGCTTTCGAGTGGGTCAGCACTTTCTGTACCATGCTGCTCATTCCTTTGAATTTCAAATTTCATCCAAATACACTGGGCTCTTTTAAATGTTTATTTTATTTTGGCTCAGGATGATTTCTGTTTCCATGTTGTTGTTGTTCTTGTTGATATCAGTGAGAAGTTAGTCTTAAAAATGCTGCGTAGCATTAAGAGTGAACAGCTGCAGACCACAGCAGAGTGCTAGATTTGAGAAATACGTCTCTTTTTGACCTAAACCAAATCCTCAGAGTGCATAATACAGTTACTGGCCAAACACAGGCCTGTGCACACATCCACAGGCACATTCTCGCATAAGCACCAGTATAATTAATTTATGATCCGGTCCTGTGATTTATTTTTGTCCCTATTTGACCTTCTGTGCTGCTTGAATGTGAAACGTCCTGGAGGATCTGTGGTGCTCTGCTCAGCTGAAACCTCAGCTCGATTCCTCCTGGACGATGCATCATAACCCCTTATTTCTCTTCCAAACAACTCAGCTCCTTCACCTTCCTTCTCTACATCTTTTTCTCTCATTTCCTTCATTTTCTTCTTCCCGGCTCGTCCCCTTGGATCACCTGAAAATAGCAGCCGATGGAAAAGTGGGTCAGCTGCCATAGAGTATACTGCATACGCTGAATTCATTTCTGGGCAACACTGCGATTTGTCAAACTACTGTACCTCGAACAGTTTTATGTGCCGAAGCAGTTTTCTTAGCAAACAATGCTAGGGTTTATAAAACATAGGGCCTCGTGTAAAACTGCTGACACAAACCAGTTTTTACTATAAAACAACTTTTTGAGGATTTTAAGTGAGGGCGGCATGCAGAGGATAAAATCTTGAAGGCACACAATTCCTCAAATGCAACAAAATCTCATGTAAAGCCATGCCAAAAATATGTATATCAACGTTCAACTCACAGACTTGGTTAAAATTGTTTTATTCACTAAAAGATACACTTATCTATATCAGCCATGTGCAAGATTATTTAATTTCCTGGTAAATAGTGAATTAAATGTGACTCACCACATATATAGAATGTAATTCAGTTTCGTAAGCTAGACCTCGGCCTGATTACTGCCAAGAAGAGCTACAAAGCCATTTCTAAAGATTTTGGACTCCAGTGAATTGCACTGAGAGCCTTTATCCACACACAGAGAAAATATGTCAGAGGGTTGAACCTTCCCAGGAGTGGCCAGCCTTCTGAAATTACTCCAGGATGAAGTCACCTGCTCACCTAAGAGCTAATGAAAGACCCTGGAACAACTTCTGGACTTTTCGAATTCAGGGGCTGCCGTGCTTGAAGGACGTGGTCAACGTGTTGGATGCGTGCTTCGCAAAAAAACATATGTGAGCGAAATTAGATGGCCTTGCCTTCAAATTTATTCCCACCCTTATCTCTGTGTATTTCCCATCACTTATATCACCTCATGTTGGTGTTAAACACAACAAGGTATATTGAGCTTTTAGGATCTTTTTAATATCATACCAACAGTCAAACATGGTGGTGGTTGAGTAGTGGCCTGGGCTGCTTCTCTGTTTAGAACATGGATGCTTTGGTGGAGCTGCGGTTTCTGCTCTCTGTGAGAAAATCCTTGGAAGGAGAAAGTGCATTCATCAGGTGGCGATGCACATTTAGGAGAGGAATCCAACACAAACAAGCATATCGACCTGCAGGTGGTTTGGAGAAAAAAATGATTAAATTAAATTAAGGCTTTTAGACCTTGTCAAAGTACATAGTTGTAATTCAAATCAGACGCTGTGGTGTGGCATGTACAGATTTCATCCATGCTGAAGATGATGTGAAATTCAAGTGATTTTAACAAGTCAAAGCTGTTTTTATGAGCATAAAGCTATTTCTAATGTTGTGCTGGAACGCTTTATCAAAATCTGACAGAAATGAAACAGATTACAGGACTGGACTAAAAAGAAAGAAGCTGAAAACAAAAAGAATCCGGCAAAGAACAATAAGATCTGGGAACGTACATGAACGTGACGAGAAGGAAGATCAGGCCCGAGGAACAGGTGTGACTAAAATTAACACCAAGAAAAATAAATTAAAACAGATAAAGGAACCTTAATCATGAAATAAGTAAAACAAATTAAGTAATGTTCAATACTGAACATTGAAGAACAACAGTCAACATACAGATTTTGCAAAAATAAATAAGATCCGGCCGACAACGAAGCAAGAGAAAGCGTTCCCATTCGGGCTCCTCTTTTTCAGAGAACTTGTTTGTTTTCAGCTGTAAGCAAACTCGACTCATGTGGCCCAGTGGATGATCTAATTATCTGTTATGTGTTTAACTAATATCATTAGGCCAAATGGGCCCCATCTAAACAGCACAGGAGGAGTCTGCTGAGGCGGCTCCAGCATTTCAAAACAATCAAGAGAGGGGAGAGCATGTGAAAGCGTGGGAGAGGATAAAAGCGGGGAAACATACACAGATCAGTGCTTTATACTTTAAAAATCACCTATTGTGAAAGTGAGAGTAGAGACTGAAGGACTGTGGATATGTGTGAATCAAAGGCTTCAGTAAAAAACAAGAAAAAGACGTGTAACTTTGCTTTTACTTAAAAACAAAAATGTAACCGCAAACACCACTGATACTGAAATAATCTATTGCAACAAAAAATTTTGCTATGCAATAAATGTAATGTTTTAAACCACAACTGGTTTTTGTAATTGTTGCAACATCAAAGTCTTTATACAGCTAATATGAGCTGCTATAAGCATTAAGCTGGTCTGTGTTGCAGCATTTACGACAAGAACATCACTGGGATTTCCGTCAGAGAGCTGCCTCCACACCTAATTTGTCAAAGTTTGGCATTTGAGGGGATTCAGGAGCCCTGAGCAGCAGAGTTAAATGGTCTTCTGATGGGTCATCCATCATTGGGGCTCCTGGACTTCAGATGATCTCACAGGAAGATAAATGTGCATCGTTTTCAGATCTTAAACTTGCCTTTTGGTGAACATGAAGACATCTTAAAATCTAAACCTTTGGGTTGTGTATTGGTGACGCGTTATCAGACTTGATAAGACCGGTGCTTGCTTTTGATCGTCACTGTTTGTCTTTCCAGGATTCAAGTGTCCTGTCTGCTCCAAGTCTGTGGCGTCCAATGAGATGGAGGTCCACTTCATCATGTGTCTCAGCAAACCTCGCCTCTCCTACAACGGTGAGAAACGCCTCACTCGTCTTTACGTGTTCTCATTTGGAGGGAAAAGTTGAGCTTGGGATAAACGGGGAAAGCGGTGTTGTTTGCATTTCCTTTCGTTTCCATTGCTTGATTTTGTGCGTGCTTCCTGCTGCTGTACGGCTAAATACAGCCGTACAGCAGCTGTACAGCACCCGATGCGGGTGGTGTCTTCACAAAGGCTTATGATATCATCGTGCTAGTTCTTCCAAAACACCTTGAATATGAGTGAGATAAAAACAAATGACAATTCATAATATATTCATGGTTTGATTCAATGCAGGTAATATATTCAATTAAAAAAAAAAAAGAGTACAAACACACAAACCCACCTGCGGCAGCAGAGCTACTTGGTAGCTCAAAACTTCTTGTGCTTCGCAGCTCGTTTTCACGCCATGCGACCCACACTATGTCTGCTCATTCTCTGCCCCTCGGCGTTTTCCTGCTGGAGTCGCTGTACTGCTGCAGCAAGCGTACCATTTTTGCTTCAATAAAACAGGAGCGCATAAATAATTAGCTCTCCATTATGCTACTGAGTCATCAAGCCTGGGAAAGAAAATAAAACTGTGATCAAAACACCTCTTAAGTTTGTTCTCATTTTGTCAACCACAAACTTCCCTGTTTTTATTTAGTCCCTGTTTTATTGCGGTACCATGATCAGATGCCACATGTATTGTTAAAAAAAAAAAGGGAAGAGATTAGGAATGTTGGCATCCCAGCCTTGTAGAATTACAGAGCCGTACATGTAAAGATTGTCAACTTTCTGCAGTCTAGCAATGGGATCTAGAATTGCACCACTCATGGTGGCAGCATGTTGCCCTGTAGGTTTTAGTTCTGATTTGAAATGTTTGTAGACACAATGTTCATCATGTATTTGGTTGAGGCATTGCTCATTTGAACAGTTATTGCCCCCAAGATTAGATACCATACAACTGGCAGATTTTTTTTCTCTTATTCACCATTGAGTAGTTTTGTTTCTACAGCTGGGAGCTGCTCATTAGTAACACAAAAACTCAAATAACACCTGAACTATGACATCCTCAGCGATGACCCCAAATCCCTGAGGAGTTACAGGGAAGGCTTCCCAAGAGCAGAGACAGAAAAAGAAAGTTTGAACCATTTCTGCCATCTATCATAGCGGGTGAGGGGCAGATCCCCAACCCCAACACGACTGACTTTCTGACCATGTGACTAGATGGAGTTCTTGCCAACAACTAATTAATCGGCATGTTACTGTGGAGTGTTACCTCTGCTGCCCAGAAAGTGAGCTGATAGCGTGGCATGATCTTTAGGAGACTGTCATACAGTAACAGTCTTCAGTCAGAAGTCTCTTCAGAGCTGCTGCAGCACTGGCTGCTACCAGAGATCCTTTCTGGTTACAGCTGGTTACACCATCCACAGCCACACTTGGGCATTCTTGGGACATATGACAGGGACATTTCCCTTTGGTATAACCAAAGCATGTTTGAATTTGAATTGAATTTGAATTTATGCATCCAAGCCTTACATCCCTTAATGCGATGCGACACATCAGACGCATTGGATCGGATCCAAAGCCAGCATAGCAGTCGAGCAGGCATGCTGCCTCTGGATACTAGAGCAGTGGATATGCATTCTCTGGAGTAACAAATCATGACACTTGGTCTGGTAACCTGATGGATAAGTCTGGGTTAGGAGCTGAATGACTTCTGCCTGTCTTCATAGTGTGGAGTACATGGGTTATAGTCAAGCGGCTGTTTTTCAGGAGATGAGATTGGCCCCTCTGTTCCCATAAAATGAATCCTAAATGCTTCAGACGTTTTGGACTATTTCATGTTTAATTAATTTAATGAACTATTCTTGCTTTTCATGGTTCATTGCTGGACTTCTATGTTATGTTGGCCCTTACTGCGTCAACATAACAGTCCTGCATGTCCTGTTAATCTTGTTCCGATGCTTCATTTCTTTGGGGTTCTGTTTCAGTCCGAGTCGTTAAAAATCGGCGAGTTGCGGCTTTACATTAAACTGCAGATGCCTCACCATCAATAACTTTGAAGGCTGATGCTTAGCTGAGTCTCTCCGGCATTTAACAACGGAAGAGTGAGGGAGCTGACCATGTCAGAGCATTTTTTCATTTCTGTATTGATCTGCTGTGTGTTGCACCGCTAACTGTCTCTGCACCGCCACGCTCGGATCTCCCTGTTATCTAACAAGTTGACTGATTCAGTTTCATAACCAGAAAGCTGTTGCATCTCATTCTGTTTTCTTTTTTGTTATTATTATTAGATTAATACCTGGATTTTTGACTTTTCAGACCAGTAAGCAATGCTATGAGAGTTAACAACGTTGTTCACCCACTATTGTCAAGGGAAGCATGAAGTGCTGCTAAATGTCCCGGTGTTCTATGCTGGTTTTGGACTTCAGTGGACCAACACCAGCAAATGACAGAGCTCAAGAAAATCACTATTGACTTTGGAAGGAGATGTGTTAAATAGGCACAACAGGTGAGAGTGAGCAAGATACCAGACTGGGATTACACAGCATCATCCCCCACCAGGCTGATGGAGCTGCTGGCCCCGGCCACCATTCTCATCCCAGTTCAAGTTTTGTGAATCCTGTCAAGGTGGAAGTTATTACTGTTGTGTGCCTTTTGTCTCTTCAGCCACAATTTGCCCTTCCACTAAACCTTTCACAGAAAGCTTTTATGCAATACTTTTTTCTCAGAAGCTAACTTTTATTAACCGTAAGGCATAATCATCAAAATGAACATACATAAACATGTGAAGTATCTCATTCTGAATCAATGCAAGTTTCTATTCTGAAACTTTTGAGTTATATTCTACTTTATCGAGATGAAAAAAAGCAGTTAGCCACAAATAAAGGAATCTACACCCACAGTTGAGATGAGTGAAAATAAAGAAGCACACAAAGCTGCTGCAGACTGACTGTCTACCATCCAGCCACCTGTTTATACCAGTAAACACACTGCTGGTTGCTCGGAGATGCAGCTCCCAAATGTTTATTGCCCCGCAGCAGCTCACTGACGGACACTTCTCTGACTTGCCGGCTGTGGAAACGGGCGTCTGCTGGGGTCACCTTGTTGAGGTCTCTGCCTCATCTTGTGTTTCTGATCCTAATGATAACGAACTCATGTGATGCAGTTTGAGGCGAGGAGTGCAGGGAGGCGATTTTACAGTTCCACAAATAGCTGCCAGTGTGGCCCACAAGGCCAGTGCAGTAAAGCATAATGTAGGTTTGAAGCCTCCAGCCAAATCTGAGCTGAAGATTGAGTGACACAGGCAGAGAGGGGAGAGTGAAACTGTCTTAAGCTTGATGGGATCCGGAGTGATGGAGTACTCTGATGCCTGATAACGGACGAGAGGAGAGAGGGCAAAAGGGAGCAGCTCTCCCATAATTCCTCTCATTTTTCTCCCCCTGCATCTCCTTTCCATCCTGCCGCTGTTTATTTCCAGCCAATTACACTCTGCAATTTCGCCCTCTGCTCCGTAAGTCCGTCCGTCTGTCTACTCCTGCCATCCAATTTTCCTCCTAATTTCTTTGTTCCTCTTTATCTACCTTCTCCTCTGTTCTGTGTGGTTTTTGAGACCCACCCAATGAAACGTGCTTATCTTGTTTCCCAGGATGCTCTGGGGTTTTATTGCCAATCACCTGGGCTGCGGCGTGTCACACATCCACATTTTTCAAACAAACAAACAAGCCTGCGGTGGTGCTTGATAGACATATTCAGACTTCTTACAACCTTTTAGAAAAATATTCTTAGAGCTTTGGTTCTTCTTCACTTATTTCAGCAGCACACAGTTTAAATTTGAATATTTTTCTCCACGAACTGAGACTTAAACGCATTAACTATACTGCTTTTATTTACTCCGATTGGTCAAGACGATGCTTTAGCGATGACGAGTAAACCAATTTGGTCTCTTTTTACGTTTGACTAAACCTTTTTAACGTTCAAGAGATTATTACTGATGTTTGCAACACCAGCCAATGACAAGTCAAGTTGCAGTGAGGTATTCCAGCCTATCAAGCTGCGGTTTCTTTTGGATATTTTAGATGAGCACAACAAAAACAAAACTTTGGAGTCACACTCCGTAGAAGGATCTGGGCATATGTACTCTTGCAATACTAAACAAGGGCATCATGTGTACATACTTAAGAAATTACAACTCTCTAATGTTTGAAAATGTTTTTTGTTGTTGTTATTATTATTGTGGTATTGAACATAATTATTGTCATTATCACATTATCAACATTAGTAGTAGAAGTAGGTGCATTAAAGTGTTTTTCATAATTTCTTGAATCATCATCATCATCATCATCATCACACATTATATTTTCTGAATTACAGTCTGCAGCTCGGACACACAATTTCAACCAACCTTCGTAAAGTTGTTTATGCAAACGTAGACGATACTGTAAGATATTTCAATAAACTTTTGAAAATATTACCGTAGTTTCCGGTCTCTAGAACGCGCCTCACTATAAACCGCACCCACAAAGTTAAAAAAAAAAACAACAAAAACTGGAAATGTTCATGAACCGCATGGTTCAAAGCGTGGGGGAAAAAAACAGTAGCGGCTTATAGTCCGAAAAATACGGTACTTGCAATTTGAAGTTCAGAGAGTAAGCAAAATGGTTAAGGCTCTTATTTGAAGGAAGCTGTCTGAGTTAATTTGCTGTTTTAACACAAAAAGTAAAATATATGCTATTCTTGTTTAGACTCCTCCTGTTATCTGGACCCATAAGCTAACATGCTGATAGTGCACACAGGTAACAGGTTGAGCAAACAAGGCTAACTAACAAGACAATCTGTTTCGTCCCTGTCATTGGTTGTTGAGGAGGAAAATAAAACTGGGCCAGAACAAATAACTGCAATGCATGCAGCATTTCCTGAAAACAAGCTTCTGATCTCTCTGCTTTGGCAGATCAGTAACACGTTCTAACACTTCATGATATAATATGCCAACATCCCGACCCCACATCGT